GTTTATAAAAAAATACAAAAATTTAATTTAACAACAATTATTAAATATTATATTTTTAATAGATTTCACAGAGTTACATTTTTCGTTTCGTTTTACATTATAAGCCAACATTACATTTTAAGATTATGTTTTATTTGTTATTTTATTTATATTAATTTGTATTTTGTATAAATTATAAAAAATGTTAAATGTTACACTATTCAGCTTTTTTTTTTTGTCATATAATTTTAATTTTCTTTCGTCAGAATAATTTTATTTTTTTTTTCGTTATGAATCGTATGTGCCATCATTAACTATTATATTTTTCCAAGTCTCTAATTTGATATTTATTTATTAAAAAAAAAAAAATAAATAAAATGTATTTTTAATAATAATAAAAAATATTATAATAAAATATGAAAATTGAATCCATTAAAATAGTATAAGGAAAGGGGACAATTAAAGATTTTCATTAAAGGAGAATTGATATTATTCCCAATTTTAAATGCATAATAGGCCAAGTTTATCTCAAATATGACGGCTTCGAGGCACTATGAAGGGCGTCGTTGGCAAAGGTATTTTCGAGCTGTATAAGATGTCTGGTATCAAATGTTCTGGTGGAGTGCATATTACGCATGTGAGGGACTTAAAACCCCGAATCGGATGAAACATATACAGGGTGAGTTGAAAAAACTGCAAACAACTTCAGACTGTTGTCATTTCTTAGTCACTCGTCCGACAGCTATCAAAATTATTCCAGTGATAGCTCATTATATTGTTTACAAGCGTACGAAAGCATTTCGGTGAGAATTTTCCAGAAAAAAAATTATTCGTGATGGAATTCAAGCTTGATAGTGTGATTTCTTTATATTTGGCTGTAAAACCACAACTGGCTATCGTTAGAGCACTCCAGCGAACTGATCGTGTTTACTTGCCTATGAGGTAAGCTGAAAATGTGCACCTTCTGTTGGTCACCAAATCTCAAGCACAGGCCATGGTGATGGTATGGACCGCCATAACAGCCGATGGTTGCTCTCCGCTTGTATTAATTGATCGTGGCATCAGAATAAATGTCGAATATTAACGCGAAAATATTCTGGAGAGATATTAAAGTCTTGGGCATGCAAACATTTTGGCCGCAGACCTTGGACATTCCAACAGAACTCAGCCCCATCATCAGAATGGTTACAAAATGAGGTTCCTAGTTTCATTTCCAGCGCACAATGGCCATCAAAATCTTCGATTCAATTGTGTGTGGAGTATTTTGGAAAGCAAGGTTGGCACAAAAAAATACCAAAGTTTCGATCACCTCAAGCAAGCGCTTCGCCGGGAATGGGCCAAAATATCGCAAAGCAACATTCGGCCAGCGTGTGACGGTTTCAGTGGCCGTTTAAAGGCCATAATTCGTGCCAAAGGTGAGCAATTCGAACAAATCTAAACTTATTCTAAAATTTGATGCTATTTCCGACATTTTTGCTTTCATTCGATAAAATTTGAAAAAAAAAAATGTAACAATTATGCCGTTTGACTTTGTTGCAGTTTTTTTTTATCTCACCCCGTATGGGAGAATATTAAAAATCTGAACCGATTTCGATTAAATTTAGCAAAAGTATTTCTGAGCTTTATTTGATATGGTTCCCCAAATATCGTTTTCACGGAGTGCATATTATGGCTGTGGAGAACAAATGTAAAAAATCGGATGAAGAATATATATGGGAGCTATGGCTATATCTGAACCGATTTACACCAAACTTGACATACATGTTTCTAGGTTCAATTTGGTCGTAAGTTCCCATTTGCGCTAATATTACACGTTTGGTGCACAATAAAGGCCAAATCGGACGAGGTTGGGACATGGCAGCTATAGCCAAATCTGAACTGATCTAGATAAAATTTAGCAAAGGTATTTCTGAGCTTATATATATTTCCCCAAATATCGTTGTTACAGAGTGCTTATTACGGCTGCGGAGGACAAAAATAATAAATCGGATAAACAATATATATGAGAGCTATATCTAAACCAATTTCCATCAAATTTGGCCGTATGTGCAAAATTCCATATTATTTGAGCTGTTATTACACGCTTGGTGCACAATAAAAGGCAAATCGGACGAAGATATATTTGGGAGCTATATCTAAATTTTGACCGATTATCTCCTATTTCAATAGGTTTCATCCTTGGGTTAAACAAATGATTTGTGCAAAATTTCATCTCTTTTGGGCAATAAATGCGACCTCTAAATGCGACCTCTAACTGACGGTCGGGTATGCATAAATCGACTCAAAATGTGATTCTATACATATCATCGAAATTAACGATGGGTTTATCTCGTTTCCTTTTGCCTGTTACAAACAAATGCACAAAGACATAATGCCCTGACCACCTTGTGGTGTAGGGTACAAAAATTGACCAGTTTAGAGCGAATTAACTTTTTTAAAGGGGTAAAAACATTTTTTAGAATAGAAAAAATTTTAAAAGGTTATTGAAACCCTTAGGAACTTGTAAATTCTAACTTGCTTGAAAAATTCGTATAAAAATTGTGATTTCTTAAACCATTATTAAGAAGTATGGACATTTTCAATCCACATTAAGCAGGCCAACGAAGGCCTTGAGTTCTTAAATATAATCCACGAAATTAAAATGTTTTGAAATCACTTCTAAACTTGTTTAGAATAGCTAACGGAATCTTTAAAATACTTCCAAAAATCTCACGAGTTTAGAGGTTTACAAAATTTCTTTAAAAAGTTATTAAAATGGTTAAAAAGCTATTTTTAAAATCCACGTTTGGTCGCAAAAAATGCTAGACGAAAATTGTATGTAAAAAATTCGTTTGAAGTCGTTGGTGAAGTTTTCAAAATTCTTGAAAAAATCTACGCTATTTAAGGAGATCAACTAGGCCTGAAAAAAACTCACTTGAGAGGGGCTCAGAAAAGTATAAAATTTCGATTGGTTAGATTTTCGTTTTGAATCCAGAAGAAGTTTGCTCATTTTTTTGCCATGTTTAGGGAGCCAACAAAAGCCTTGGAAAAAATCCACGAAATTAAAATTAGTCTTTAAAACTAATTTTGAATCACTTGTGTTAAAATGCTTCCAAAAATGTAATAGCTTTAAGTGGATGAACTAGGTTTCTCAAATATCTTTAAAATGACTAAATATAAAGCGTACAATTTGTAATCCTCTTTTGGAGGAGTGTGGACATTTTCTTTTTTCATTTAGAAGGCCAAAAGTAGTTTGGAAATCTATAAAAACTTGGCTTGTAAAAAAAACTAGGCTTAAAATTAAATTAAGTTTTCATTTTATTCTATTTAATCCAGTTCTGGAATTTAAGGTCTTAAAGCGGATCAACTAGCCTATCAAATTTCTTTAAAAGGATAAGTATGTATAAATTAAGATAAAGATTTTTAAATCCACTTTTGAGAAATCTGGATATTTTTCATTTTTAGAAGGCCAAAAGAAGTTTGGTCATTTATAAAAAGTCGGCGAAATTAAACGATGTCTTAAAACCCCTTAAGAACTCATTCCGAATCACAAAGTTTTTTAAACGGTTAGGGGCTTTTAGCAGGTGGACTAGGCTTCTCAAATGTCTTTAAAATGGCTTCAACATTAAGCATACAATTTTTAATCCTCTTTTGGGGGAGTCTGGGTATTTTATTTTTTTCATTTAGAATATGGAAATCTTGTAAAATCTAGGCTTGTAAAAATTCACTTAAGAGGGGCTTAAAAAAGTATGATTTTTCCATTGTTTGAATTTTCAATTTAAATCCACATCTGAATTTAAAAGGTCTTAAAGCGGATCAACTAGGCTTACCAATTTTTTTTAAACGGAAAAATATTTATAATTGAAAATAATTAGTTCTTGATCCACTTTTGAGAAATATAGACACTTTTCTTAGAAGGGCAAAGAGAAGAAGTTTGGCAATTTTTAAAAAGTCCAAGAAGTTAAACGTAGTCTTAAAATCCCCTTAAAAACTTATTCCGAATCACAAAGTTTTTTTTTTAGTTTAGAGGCTTTAAGCGGATAAACTATACTTTTCAAAAGTCTTTAACATGGCTTAAAAATAAAGTATAAAATTTGTAATCCTCTTTTGGAGGAGTCTGGACATTTTTTTCGTTTAGAGGGCCATCTTAAAAAACTAGGCTTCAGTTAGAGGGGCTTTAAAAAGTAGGAAGATTTCATTGTTTGAATTTCCAATTTAAATCCAGTTCTGAAATTTAAGGGCTTAGTGCAGATCAAAAAGCCTGTCATTTTTTTAAAGGAAAAGTATGTAAAATTGAGAAGAATTATTTTTTAAGCCACCTTTGAGAAAACGGGTCATTTTATTTTATTTAGAGGGCCCAAGGAAGTTTGGAAATCTTTGAAAAGTCCACGAAATGAAATGGAGTCTTGAAACCCCTTAAAGAGTTTTTGCGGAAAGAAAGTTTTGCAAATTCTTATAAATTTGAAAATTTGTAAAAGGTATTAAGAACTATGGGTTTTTTTTTTTTTTTCAACCAAGTTTAAATGTTCAAACCAAGTTTAAATGTGTAAGACAGAATTAAGAATAAATTGAAAACATTTTGGTGGGTTTAATTCTATTTTCAAATAAATAAAAAAAATGTGTAACTAAGGAAGGGTATTGTTTCGAATATTGCAAAATAGTTGCCGGTCCTTCATTCAAACAAAACTAAAAAGCATTAAAGCAAAAAAAAAAAATGTTTTATATTATTTCCTTGTTTTATTATTATGAATTATTAAATAAATTAAATATTTAGAACAAATTAAAAACAAAATAGAGAATTAATAATGTACAAAATATATGTGTTTATCGGGGGGAGAGGACCTTTAGTTTTTTACTTTTTTTTTCTTACAAAAAATTACAAAAAAATTATATGTACTATGTATATAAAAAAAATAATAATAATAAAATGTAAATCTATAATCATAATCATATTTAAAGTTTCTTTTTTTGATAAGGACAACGAAAAGGATTAAGGAAAAAAAAGGAACAGGAAAACACATTTTGGGAAGCTCTTTTTTGGGGGGGGGGACAAACAAAATTATTGTTAGTCGTATTGTAAGAATTAGGAGGGTGGAGAAGGGGTTGTTGTTTTGACATATACGAAAATATTACACAAACAAATATTAAACATAATTAATGGTAATTGTAATAATATTATTATTTTTATATATCATTATCATTATAATCATGGTCACTTAATATATCACGCAAAATGCTAAGATCTTATATTTCTTTCATTTCTTTTTCTTCTTTTTCTTTTAAGTTAAATTGTATTCTTGTTGCTTTAAACTTAAACATTATCATCACTTTTTGTTTTTCATTTTTAAGTTTTTTTTCGACAATTGTTGTTGTTGAAGGTGGAGGAGAAGTAGTACAACACAAATTGGAACAGCGAGTTGTTCGGCAATAAATCAAATTTTTTGCTTGAGGGGGGAGAGAGAGATTTTGTTTTTTTTTTCTTATTTTGTAGACAATGTTACTTAACAAGGTATGGGGGAGGGGGGTTCTTTTCATTCATTCTTATCATCTAAAAAGTTAATTTTTCTTTTTTCTTTCTTTAAAGTAGTTAAAGGAGGATCATTTTTTTTCTTGACTTGCTCCTAAAAAAAAAGAGTTATAAACAAGAGTACAAATACAAAAGTAGTGTGTGTTTGTGTATGTGTGTTTGTGCAAAACAAAAAACAGAATTGTACAAAAATCAACAGCCAGCTGTAGGTAGCACTAGACCTGTAGTGGAGGTTCTATCTCAAAGCACCACTTTTCATCAAATCAAACTTTTCTTCTTTCCTTTCTATCATTTCTATATACATTTCTATTTCCGTATGTATGTACTGCTTCTTATATATATGTATAAGTATGTATGTATTTATGTAGTTGTATCTATGTATCAAAAAAACAAACAAAATGTTGGAATTCCATTTTAGTAACCAACAGTAGTTAAGAGAAATTCCTTTGATTCCATCATTGCAAGACATCATGGTGGAGTGATGATGAGTGTTGCAGCCTCCTGGCTGCTTACCCATTATTTAACAAAAGTCCTGGACAGGAGAGGATAATGATGGTGGCAGGGGCGCCATGCCGCCAACATCTTTTCATTACAGACTCTACCAAAAATGAAACTATAGATTACCGCCGCCTGGATAACTTCCGGCACCGCCTTCACCATTACCACCACCACTACCACCGCCAATGCCCCCACTACTGCTGCCATAGGAATGTGCCTGAGGTGGTGTTGCTGCTGTTGGTGGCGTCTGACTAGCTGCCATATCATTCATGTGCATTATTGCTGCTGCTCCACTGACCGCAATCGGCGCCGAGGCATTACCCCCCAGCAGCGATGGTGGCTGTTGTTGTTGTTGCTGTGGCGGCAATATCATATTCTCCTGCATTTGCTGCTCCATCTCCTGTTGCTGCCTCTCCATTTCCATTTGTTCCTTCAGCTGCTGCGTTATCAGTTCTTTATTCTGATGCCAATAGATCACCGGTATACTGAGCGTGGTCGTCAGCGTATCATTGTGTTCCTCCAGCGAATTGTTGGCATAATGATCCACCAGATCCCTCAGCGACTGATAGATGTTGTAGGGTGCCGCAAAACCATACCCGCTATCGGTTTTATATATAATACAATGATTGATATAATTTTTACACACTATCGACAGGGCGTAATGACCGGCGGAACGGGCACGTATCAAAAATGTGCCCGTCGGTGCACCGCGCAGCAAATCTTCGGCACCCTGACGTGTTATATCCTTGAGGAACCACATCGATTCATCGTTGTGCGGTTGATTCGATTCGATTTCGTAACGCTCTTGCCATGCCTCGAAGCCCATTTCGATTAGCTGTTTGATATCCTCTTCCGAGATGCCAAACTCCTTGAGACGTCTGAAATGAGAGGAAAAGGAAGAGGGAAATTAGTATCGCTGTTGTAATTTACTCTAAAAGTGGAAAACAAGGCTCCAAAATAAATCAAGAACCAACAAACAAGGATTATGAAGAGCTTCAAATTACAAGGACTCTAAAAGTGGAAAGACAAGCATAAAAAAATTAAGAACCAACAAACAAAGATTTTGAAAAGCTTCAAAGATTGTCAGAGCAAAGCCAAGAAACAATGATTTTGAAGAGCTTCAAATTACAAGGACTCTAAAAGTGCAAAAACAAGGATTAAAAAAATGAAGGACTAACAAATAAGTGGAAAAAAAAGCGGAAAAACAAGGATTAAAAAAATTAAGAACCAACAAAGAAAGACTTTTAAAAGCTTCAATGATTGTCAGAGCAAAACCTGGGAAGTATTTAAAAGGTTTTTTACAAGGACTCTAAAAGTGGAAAATCAAGGATTTTTTTACAACAAAAATTCAAGGACCAACAAAAAAGGATTTTGTAGAACTTCAAAGATTAGCAGAGCAAAAACAGGAGGGGTTTTAAATATTTTTTTAAGGACAATACACGTCGATATTTAGGAGAATTTTTTTAAGGAACACAAGACCAAAGGGCAAACCTTTTTAGGACTATTTTTAAAGGACCAAAAAATCAAAAAGTTTGGATTTTTTTTAAAGTACCTAAACGTGAATTTTATGATTTTTTTTCAAGTACCAACAGACCAAGAAAAGTGAATTTTCAAAGAATATTTTTCAAGGATGGATTGTAGACTATTTGAAAAATCAAGGACCAATAGATATTCGTAGATTTTTATCAAGAACCACAACCAAAAAACAAAAAAAATCACCACCCATCTGAACAAAATAAATTGAAATTTTTGGAAATATTTCTCAAGGGCTATCAGAACTTTTTGAAGCAGAGTTTGCAAGCACTACCAGAATTTGCATTATTTGAAGAAGATCTTCAAGGACTTCCTAATTTATTTTTAAGATTTCTTCCGAGAATCGTACAGTTATTTTGTAATGGGACTATCGGTGGCATGTTTTGAAGGTTATTATTCAAGGACCATCTAAAAAAAGTGGATTTTTTGAAAAAGATATTTAAAGGACAAGGTAAATTGTGTTTTTTATTAATAAATTTTTTTAAGAATATTTTTCAAGGACCATTTTAATCAAAAAGGATTTTTTCTGAACATTTTTTTTTGGAATTTTTATCAAGGACCACAGACCAAAAAAAGAATACTTTTTTACAGACCCATCTAATCAAAATAAATTGACATTTTTCGAAATATTTCTCAGGGGGTAACAGAATTTATTGAAGCAGAGTTTTCAGGCACTTTTTCAAGGACTTCCCAAACCATTTTATAATAAGGACTATCTGAACGTGAAATTTTTTCTTGAATATTATTCAAGGACCATCTGAAATAAATAAAGTGGACGCTTTTATGAAAAGATTTCAAAATATTTCTTAAGGGCTATCTGAACTTTTTGAAGCAGAGTTTTCAAGCACTGTCAGAACTCGAATTCTTGAAGAAGATTTAGCAATTGTTATTTTCAAGGACTATCAGGAAGTGGAATTATAGAAAATTATTCAAGGACCCTATAAAATAAATAAAGTGAATTTTTTGAAGAAGATTTTTCAAGGTCCATCCGGACAAGGTAAATTGATTTTATTTTTATTGGTTTTTTTTAAGAATATCTTTCAAGGACCATTTGAATCAAAAAAGATTTTTTTCAAAGACTTTTTTCAAAGACTATTTGAACTTGGATTTTCTTTTCCAAGATTTATTTAAGAACCATCTGCACCGAATCATTTGAAAATATTTTAAGGATCATCTGAACAAAATTATTTAGAAATATGTTTGACAGCAATTATTAAAACGACGATTTGTCAAAGAATAGTTCTCAAATAAAGTGAGCTTTTTTAAAAAAATATTTTTAAAAAGCCATCAGGACCAATAATCGTGCATTGTTTTAAGAATATTTATTAAGGACGTTTTGAAAATATTTTTTTTTTAAATCTTTAAAAATTTTTTTCACCGGCCATCGAAGTTTTTTTGAGGGTATTTCTCAAGGAGCATCAGAGCAACAATATTTTCAGAGTTTAGGATATCGTAAATATTTTAGGAGCATTTTTTCAAAGGTCTTTTCAAAAATATTTTTAAACTATTTTTTTATTTTTGTTTTAAATTTCTGAGCAAAAGGTGCCTAATCGAAATAATGTTTTTGAGCCTTAGGTCTCTTTGGACCAAATCCTTTTTACGACATTTGAAGTCGATCCAGGGGAGAAGCTACATCATTTGATACGGCCAATCTAGGAGTGTCCGTCCGGCCGACTAACTCTTGAAGGGAGAATCCGATTTGGACTAAACTTGGTACATTTTAGTATTATTATTAAAAATAGAGCTATGGAGTTCGGAGATGGGCAATATCGACTCACTCTTTCTGGTATCTCCCCCACAAGAGGTCGAAATTTTTACAGCACAGAAAGAGTAATGATGATCCGTTTTTGCTTCAACTTCGCAAATCCTAATATTTCCATCAATGCTAGGTCAGGTGCGAAGATGGACAATATCAGTCCACTTCATCAAATACCTCCCCCCAAAGTGAAAAAATTTTGAATAATTATAAGAAAAATGTGATGTAAAAGTCTGATTGTCTTCAAATTACACACATCACAATACTTTTATTAACCCATGCATCATTGTATTGCGATTTAATTTAATTTTCAATTTTTATTTTAAAATTTCTTACCAATTGATTAGAAAAATGTATCTTAATTTTCTATTCAATTTTGAATTTTGATCAGGTGTTTTACCAAATGTGTTGCATATTAATAAATATATATATATATATATATATATATATATATATATATATATATAAATAGTATTATAATATTATACAGTGACAAACAAAATTTAACAAAGAAAATGTCTGGGTTTCAAAGTTCTAATGTGACTCATTAGTCAATGGAATAATTTTCTAATACCATTGTAATGTAAAATGCGCATGCAGGCCCACGTCTTCGTATAGCCCCCATATACCCGTACCTCCCTATATTCGATATTTTGATAATTTTAGCGACATTATTTTCCGGAATTGTTTCAAAGTTCGTATCCGAAGTACATTATGGGTACTACAGTCCATGACAGAAAATTGTGTTTGCAGGTCCACGTCTTCGTATAGACCCCATATAAAGGCACCTCCCGATATTCTGTATTTTAATGATTTTAGCGACATTATTAACGGAAAATGTTTAAAAATTTGTATTTGAAGTTTGTAATGGATGCTACAGCCTAGGACAGAAAATTGTTTGTGCAGGTCCAGGTCTTCGCATAGCCCCCATATATGGATACCTCCCTATATTCGGTATTTTGATGATTTTAGCGACATTATGCACCGGAATTGTTTCAAATTTCGTATATAAAGTTTGTTGTGGGTACTACAGTCCATGACAGAAAATTGCGTATGAAGGCCCACGTCTCCGTATAGCTCCCATACAACCGTACCTCCCTATATTCGGTATTATGATGAATTTAGCGACATTATTTACCGGAATTGTTACAAATTTGTTATTTGAAGTTCGTAATGGGAACTACCGCCGGTGACAGAGAATTATCTGTAAAGGTCCACGACTTCGTATAACCCCCATATAACTGTATCCGCTATATTCGATATTTGGATGATTTTAGCGACATTATTCATCGGAATTGTTTTAAATTTCGTATTTGAAGTTCCTAATGGGTACTACAGTCCATGACAAAAAATTGCGTATGCAGGTCCAAGTCTTCATATAGCTCCCATACAACCGTACCCCTCGATATTCGGTATTTTCATGATTTTAGCGTTATTATTAAAAGGAATTATGTCTAATTTTGTATTTAAAGTTCGTAATGGGAACTACAGCCTGGACAGAGAATGGTCTGTGAAGGTACACGTCTTCGTATAGCCCCCATATAACTGTACCCCCCGATATAGTACTTTGTTGATTGTAGCGACATTATTTACCGGAATTCTTTCCAATTTGGTATTTGAAGTTCGTAATATATACTACAGTCTAAGACAGAAATTTGTCTGTGCAGGTCCACGTCTTCGTATAGCCCACATATAACGGTAAATCCCGATATTCGGTATTTTCATGATTTTAGCTACATTATTCACCTATGACAAAAATTGTCTATGCAAGTCCACATCTTCGTATAGTCCCCAATAAGATTTTAAAGTAATTTTTAACGGATTTTTTTTTTTGAAAATTTCCAAATTTTTCAAAGTTCGGCTCGGCCGATTTTACTGTTTTTACTTGTTTATTTTTGTTTTTTTTTTTTTTTTTTGATTTCAATTGCAATACGTTGCACTAATCCTCTGAAAAAGTTCCAATTCCATTTGTTTTGTTTGTCACTGTTCATTTCTAATATCTTAATGAGATTGACAATGCTTTGAGAAATAATGACCTTGCACATGTATTACCCGTTCAATGAACTTATTATTATCAATCCCCTTATAATATTCGAATGCATACATACACATTATATTCGACGAATTATAGTGAATTCCCAGAATTTGGCCCCCCACCAGAAACAAAGAAGCTTTTACCGAAATTAGAAATGAAATAGCAACAACAACAAGAACAAAAACGACAACATCTAAAAGATACGATGAAATAACCTTCGAAATTTGTGCATACAAATGCATGCCTACTTGCGGCGTGGATGATATAAAAATTATTACGATTATAAATACAGCGATTTCAAAACGCCAGCCTGCCCGCATGCCTAGCCTGCCTATAGATTAGACACACCCGATTTAATTAGGAAATGATATATAGAAGATCACATGGATGATCCCAGAGTACCATTTCTCGGAAATCATTTTTAAAATGTTGCATTTTTTCGCCCTCTCATCTCCTCGGCGCAATCGTCACCCAGCCAACCCACCCACATGGCTCCTCCACCAAGTAGCCTGTGTAATTATTTTGAAATTATCGACGACAATTTAGTTGAGTGT